CATCATTAATACTGTATAGGAGGGTGTGGAAAGGCTTCCCAGAGGAGGTGACATTGGGGCTGGGTCTAACAAGTTGATGAGGAAAGGACTCCAAGCAGAGAAAACAACATGCACTTATTACCAGTGTTGGGAGGTACAGGGCAAATAATGCTTATCCAGGGAGGCAAATCATTTTCCTTTAAAAAAGATTTCAAGCCAATTCCAGGTGAGCCATGTAATAATGTCACCTACACTCACATCTGATGAGCTTTCTCAAGCAGAAAAGAAACTGCCGAAAGTATAGTTGATGCAACAATTACAACCTGACCTCTATTTAACTGCAATGGGCTACACCTGTAGCTTTTTGTGTCAGGTTCCAGCAGCAAAGGACATGTATCAGGAGTTTTCTGGCTGCAAGTACCAGTAACCCATCAGCCCAGTTTAAGAAAAATAAGAGGGAAATTTATCTTAAGGCTTTTTTTTTTTGCAGGGGGGTGAGGGTGGATGGACTTATGGATGGTCAGTAAGACTCTCTCTACAAACTTGTTTTCTCTGCTTCTAATGGGAAATATATCTCCCAACCACTCCCAAGTACATGATATAATTCCAGTTACCCCAGGAAGAGACAAAAACTCCCTCATCATTCCAATTCCAAAACCCCAGAGAAGAAGCCCTAACTGACCCAACTTGAGTCAGATGTCCCCCTCCACTAGAACAATCAACGCCGGCTTACAGGTCATGTAGTTCACCAGGAACCCACCTCTGTGGATCAAGACCACCAAAAAGGGAATTGTTTTGAGTTGAGGAGATATCTTAATAGAAGTCCCTCATAGAACCATTGATTCCACTTAACGGTGAAACACATGGGAGATATTTGATAGTGACGCAGGGAATGATGATTGAATTCCTGATTTCTGCGCAGGAGGGAGACCTCTTTTTTTTTAATGTAGCAATCAAAACAAGAAGTTGTTTTTTTTCCCCAAGAAAAAGTGGATAAAAAATGGGGTGGTCTCCTCTGTGGTAGTTGACATTAATACTAAGCCAACAGATATTTCTGGTTTGCTTCCCAGACACAGGATTGTACTTCCTCACAGCTTGGAGTCAGGAGAGGCCACATGGCTTGCTTTGGTCAATAAAGAGAGTAGAAGCAGATCATTTCCAGCCCCGAATTTCAAGGGCTAGTAGGCAATCTTCTCTCTTTCCTTCAGCAACAGCAATAGACAATGCTTGAGGTGGTGATACCTCCCACAGTGTGGGTCCAGGGCTGAGAAAACATAGACTGTGACCCACCATGGACATATAGTATGAGCAAGAAATCAATCTTTGCTGATATAAAAACAAGATTGGGGCTTGTTTATTACCAGAGCAAAACTTAGCCTATCCTGACAGATGTATCTTTCTAACATCTGGTCTAGCCCACTCCCCACTGTACAGCATTGAGGTAGTTTGGGTGGGATGGACCCCATCTCCCACATGTGAATGTGGATCCTCAATTCAACTGACTTCCATAAGTCAACTGAAGTAATCTCATAGGCCTTGGATTGATTGCTTCAGAGATGGACCTATTACCGAGGCCTACATATATCAGTACCCAATATTTAGCTCTTCACAATAATTAGATACAACCTTCACTGCCTCCCTGGATGACAGTGAGGCACCATTTGCAGCTGGCAGCTATTCTGGGACAAAGAGAAGAGCCAACCTAAAGATGAAGCCAACACATGGAATAGGGAAAAGTGGAAAGAACTGAAGAGAAACCGAGTTGGAGTGCCAATCAGGGCTTACCTGAATCCCATCTACCAATCAAGTCACATAAATCAATACATTCCCTTTATTGCTGATTCTAACTTGAGTTGGATTTTCAATTACTTGAAACCAAAAGGATCCCAACTGTGGCTGTTCTGCCACATTCACCGCACAGCTCTGAGCAGTAGCCAGCACCATAGAATCCCAGGTGGGAAAGAGTCTGAGCATTGAACAACTGCAGGAAGGGAAGGTGAAAAATTCTACGTGATTTATGTGCCAGCCCCTTGTCAAGAATGAGGTGATCACAATGCACAGAGGGAACAGCTGGGACCGGCTGTGAGCCAAGGATTCGAAGGGGAAGAATCCTCGAGGACCAGGAGAGTGACAGACCCCTTGGCCTAATCAATAGTTCATTTCATAAAGAGGGTTCTCTCACTCCCCACTAATCTTTATGTTGCCTTTATAAAGTCTGCAATGAAGGAACCCAGGAGGCAGTTAGTTTAATGTAGTGTGTAAGTAAGTAGGATTTAAATCCAGAACTCCTGGGTTTGAAGCCGGTCTCCCCCACTTACTTGCTGTATGAGGCTGAGTAACTTAACCTCCTAATGTTATGAAAATTGAATGAGTTAATCTACATGCCGCTATTAATATGGTGTCACATGCATGAAAAGCACTCAGAAGTTAAAGAGGAAGTTCTATCAGGGTTTTTAAGAAAAGTTCTGAATCCAGTTGTGCCAACTTATTGCCTCTGTGCTCTAAATTCCTTGCCTTGCTTTGAAGACCTTTGGACATTTCTCTGCTGCCAGGAGCACAGTGTTAGGCTTCGCCAGTGGACAGTGCTGGAGGGTTCCTGCAAGGCGCAGACGCACAAGGGGCTTTCTGATTCCCAGTCTGTTCTTCTTGCTCCTACAGCACGTAAGATGGTCGATGGGAAACCTAGCAGTGCTCACCCGCCGGTGAGTTTTTCTGCCACCCACATGGCCAGTTCCTGACCAGTTGCCTGTGGCAACTCAGCAAACCTCTCAGCCGTCCCGTGAGCTGACTTCCTGCCCTCTCCAAGGTCTACATCTCAGCCTTGGACTCGGGGAGAGACTCTTGCAAGTGTGTTCTCTCCTGGGGTACTGGGTCTCAGCCCTAGAAAGAGTAGCTGCTCCCTATGTCTTCCCTGTGTCTACTGTTTCTGGGTTCTTCAGAGTTCTCTTTGGCCTTTTTAGTCACGAACTACTTTTCACCTGTTAATAATTCTTACTATTAAATTTTCCTTGTTCCAATTACTGATGTGGTTTCTGCCTCCTGAGTGGCCTCTACTTCCAATTAGACATGTTCCTGGGATTAAAGAGGAACTCGTGTGTATGTAGGTGGGAGCAGGGTGAGTCCAACTGTGTTTGTAACAGTAGTTTATAACAGTCATGACTTCATCCTCAAGAGAACACTATAAGAAAACGACAATGGTGAGGCCTGATGTCAGTGCCTGTCTTCCACCAGCCTTCACAATTGGGCTTCTGCTGTCAGTCCAGCCCACGTATGGAGGGCAGGACCCTTAGCCCTATCACGGGGTGAGGCCTGGAGTCACATCTTGTTTCCGAATATGCTGCTAGACCAGAGATGAGCTTGAGTGTCCATAAATCCGTCCCAGCTCAAGGCACTGTCTGTACCCACCCACCACTCTCTTTCCCAACAAATATGTATTGTGTACATCATTCTAACCTTAAAGTTGCTTCTACAAGCAATTTTTTTCAATTGCACTACCATGCCTAATGCACAATCAAATATAGCCAGACCTATACAGAGATAAGACATCATGAGAGAACACAAGTAAGGCAACAAAGAAACAGGCTCATGCGGACACCAAATACAGGACATTATCCAGCACAAACCAAAACCAACCAAGGTTACTACAGTCAAGGAAATAAAAGCCAAACTTAGAAAATCAAAATCATGAGATATCAATTCACAGCCATTAGAATGGTTATTATACAAACAAGAAAAGAAAAAAAGGAAGTAAATGTTGGAGTAGAAACTAGAAACCCTCATGCACTAGTGGTAAGAATGTCGAACAGCGCAGCTGCTGTGGAAAACAGGGTGATGGTTCCTTCAAAAATTAAACATAGACTTACCCCATGATCCAGAAATTCCACCTGAGTATATACCCCAAAGAACTGAAAGCAGGACCTCAGACATTTGTACAACTGTCTTTACAGCAGCATGATTCACAATAGCCCAAAGGTAGAAGCAATGCAAATGTTCATCAGCATTATACGTAAGAAGAAATCATCCAGAATGAAATACGGAGAGACAAAGAGATAAACAATATAGAAGGTAAGAGACATAGAGGATACAGTGAGGTTTAACATACATTTTCATTAGAGTCCCAGAAAGAGAAAAGAGAGAGCATGAGACAGAAGCAATATATGGAAGGATGATAACATCTGAGAATTTTCTAGAACTTATGAAAGACATCAAGTCATAGGTTGAAGAAGCCAAATAAATTCAAATCAGGATAAATAAAAATAAATCTATAATGAAACCACAGAAAACCAAAGGCATATCAAATTAGTCTAAGATAAAAAGTAATCTGACCAGAACCTCTGCCGGGAGGGCAAGGAGAAGGAGGGGTAGGTTTTGATTCCTACTTCGGCCATCACACAGTTTTGGTTAAAGTTTGTACCTGCCCAGCAACAGGATTCTCATTCCTAAAGAGATTAATATGCAGACCTGCCAGAGGATGGAAATTAAATGGAGGCCAAATAACTTCTCAAATTTCGGTTGATTATTCATCAGTTCCTCAACGAACAGATGTGGACTTCTTGGGAGAAGATGCACCCACACATGTAAAGATTGGAGGAGGGAATGGGAATGTGGCGATGGCACACACACACACACACACAAAATGCTTTTGAACAACTGGAACCTGTTTTAAGGACATGACATCAACTAAAAGGAAAACTCAGAAAATCATTGAGAGAAGGATTACATTTTGGCATCCCAGCTGGTAGCACAGGTTTCTCTAATAGATTAGCAGCTACTGAAGATGTGCCTTTTATCCATCAGTCTCCCACATTAGGTGACTTGACACCTGGCGGGAAAACACCAGTGCACGGGAAGAAGGTACAGACTGGCAGGGTGAAGAAGTTCTGAGGCAGCAGAAGACAGCAGCCAAGTCAAGGAAACACAATTCCAGGTAGGAGCACAGATCTGTAAGACAAAATGAAGATCACAGGAAAGGGCATATATGTGGGTAAATAGAGAAACTTGACATTTAAAATACACTAGTTGGGGTGTGCTCAGAGCAGGGGGCCTGAAGAAATGTCTCCCCTGTTTACAACACACCCAACAGGAATCTGGGTTCACTGTGAGAAGGGGCACAAAACTTGAGGCCTTTATCCTATGAACAAATACCCTTCACGTGTCCCCCTGTGCCTCCACGTGACTCCTGGGCAGGACCAGTGGGGCAAGGCTCAATATTGGAAGAAATGCCGCAGTATTTAGTGGGGGAATTTGCCGCCTAGAGCCTGTCCGGTCCATGCATGGGCGGGCCATGAGTGGTCTTACAGACATGAAGGCTTTGAACCTCTTTGCAAGGGAAAAAAGAGAGATTTCATATGCCATTTTGGAGGACAGAAGTTTTTTAGGGCAGTGAAAATACTTTGTATGACATTATAACGATGGATATGTATGTCATTATACTTTTGTCCAAACTAAGGTGAACTGAGGACTTTGGTGATTATGATGTATCAATGTACATTCATCCTTAGTTAAAAAAAGAAGTACCACTCTGGTAAATAAAAATAATGACTATGCATGTGTGTAGAGAGGGGACATATGGGAAACTTCTGTACCTTCCTGTCAATTTTGTTGTAAACCTAAAACTGGTCCCCAAAAAACATATTAAAATTAAAAACAAGAACACTCAGTGTTAGGGTAGACATTTTGGGCAAAACTTTGGTTTCAGTTGTACTCATATATATATATGTATACATATTATATATGTGTGTGTTTGTTGGATTATGATGTAAAATGTATTTTTTTAGGTCAAAATTTTGCAAGCCACTGTAGTTAAGTGATACTGGCAAATAAAAGCACAAATTAACCTCAAAAACTAAAAATAAAATAAATTACTATTTAAAGCAACAGCAACAGTGTATTGTGGATTTGTGACATGCAGAAGTAAAATGTGTAACCAAAAATAGCACAGAAGGTGGGAGCAGTAAAAGGAATTGCACTGTTAAAAGGTTCTTACATTGTGTAGAAAATTATGAAGTATTAATTCAAGTCATGCTGCAATAAGAATGCATATTATAATCTTGAAAGTAAGCACTTAAATATACATATATAATATATATATGTATATATATTATATACATAAATATACATATATAATATATATAATATATATATAAAATATATGTGTGTGTATATAATATATATACACATAATGGTTTGCCTAAAAATCCAATGGGAAAGAAATTAAAAGCAGGGTCTCAAAGAGATCCTTATACACTCATGTTCATAGCAGCATTAGTCACAATTGCCAAAAGGTGGAAGCAACCCAAATGTTCATCAAGAGATGAACGGAAAAACAAAACGTAGTGTGTGTGTATATATATATTGGATATTATTCAGTCTTGAAAAGAAAGAAAATTCTGATAAATGCTACAACATAGATGAACTTTGAGGACATAATGCTAAGTGAAAACAAGCCAGTCACAAAAAGATAAATACTGTATGACACCGTTTACATGAAATACCTAGAATGGTCAAATTCATAGTGATCGAAAGTAGAATGATACCTGCCAAGGACTCAGGGGGAGGGATGAATGGGAAGCTGCTGAGTAACAGATAAAGTATTTCAGTTTTGCAAGATGAAAAGCGTTCTGAAGATTGGTTGCACAAAAATGTGAAAGTACTTAAAACTAGTGAACTGCACATTTTAAAATGGTAAATTTTATGCGTATTTTACCACAATTTAAAAAAATCGAGTAGAGAAGATAAAATAGAATAATAAAAAAACACTTGATTGATCCAAAGAAGGGGGTGGGGGGAAGCAAACAGGAACAAAACCCAGGTAGGACAAATAGAAGAGAAATAACAAGATTACAGAGGTAAATGGTTTGAAACCACATCTGTAATTTTGTTAAATGTGAGTGGACTAAATATTCTAATAAAAAGATTGACAAGTTGAACTTAAACAAAAAACAAAACTCAACTATATGATGCTTACAAGAGACATACTTTAATATAAAGACTAAACTTAAAAGATAATGGAAATAGTCTAGCTAAGGTTTAAATAAGAAATAATACGTATTTTATACAAATTCTCTATTAAAATAGAGGGAACAGTTCCCAACTTATTTTATAAGGTCAGCATAATCCTACTACCAAAACCTGGTTTAAAAAAAAAATGACAGAAAATATCACAGACCAATCTCTCTCATGACCATAAATGCAACAACCCTTGACAAAATGTTAGCCAAATCAAATCCAGCAATAAATAAAAAGGCTACTAAATCACACCCAAGTGGAGTTTATCCCAGGAAAGCAAATTGATTTAACAGTTTAAAACTGACCAACCACATTAACAGAATAAAAGGGAAAAATAATTTGATCATCTGAATAGATGCTGAAAAAACATTTGATAAAATTCAACATTGACTCACAATGAAAACTCCCAGCAACATAAGAACAGGAAGGAACATCCTCAATCCGATATAGGATATGTAGGAAAAAAACCCTAGAGCTAACATCATCCTTAATGGTAAAATGTTGAACATTTTCCTTCCTCCAGTCAGGAATAGAGCAAGGATATCAGCTAACACCACCCCTAATTAGCATTTTACTAGATGTCTTAGCCAGACCAATAACGAAAGAAAAAAAAAGTTATAAAGACAGGAAAGAAAAATCAAAACTATCTTTATTCAAAAATGACATGATTGTATCGCTAAAAAATCCTAAGGAACCTCAAATAAATTTTTAGAACTAATAAGTGACTCTCTTAATCCAGCTGCTATAACAAAATACCACAAACTAGGTAGCTTATAAACAATAGAAATTTATTTCTCACAGTTCTGGAGGCTGGAAGTCTGAGATCAGGGTGCCAACATGGTTGGGTTCTGATGCAGGCCCTCTTCTGCGTTGCAAAATCAATATAGAAAAATCAACCTTATTTCTATATTCCATCAAATGTCAGAAAAAAATTTTAATTGTCAGAAAAAATAGCAAAAAACCCCCAAAAACCCAAAAACCCCAAAACCACGTACCCACAGGTGGATCTTACAAAAGACATGGAAAACCTCCATGAAGGAAACCACAAACACTTTAGTAGATATTAAAGAACAAATGAATAATGCAGAGAAACACCAAGCTAACAGATTGGGAGACTCAATACGTAAAGCTATCATTCTCTCCAGTTGGTCTATGGATTCAAAGCAATCCTGTTGACTTTCATATGGAAGCTGACAAGATGATTATAATATAAAATTTATGTGAAACTGGAGAAAGCCAATGACAGCTAAGGTACTCTTGAAGGAGTACAAGGTGGGAAGATTTAATCTATCAGTTAATAAGACATAATAAAGCTCTAATAATTAAGACAGTGTAGTATTGCACAAGAGTAGACAAAAACCAATGGACAGAAGAGAGATACTTCAAAAATAGATTAATGATAAAGAAAGCATTGCAGAACAGTGTACTTTTGTATAAGGAGTATTGCGTTAATATTCATATGGGAAAAATGACATTGGAATCCTATCTCACACCATACTCAAAAGCCAACTCCTAAAAAAAAAAAAAAGCCAGCTCCTGATGGATTATGGACCTAAATATAAAAAGTAAAACAATAAACAAGGCGTGACACACAGAAGAAACTCAATAAACATTTCTTGAATGAATGGGTATATACATGGGATCTGTTATTCCAATTTAACTACATTTATTCAAGAAACAACAAAACCAATTTCTGTTGGATTACGGATTTAAACATGTAAGGGAAAACAATACACAGCTTTAGAAGACAACATACAGAAGGCACCCCTTCTTTCCGAGTCCATTGTGATGGCCTCGGTGACATTTTAATGAAGTCACTCGAAGTTAGGAGGCCATAATGACAAATTTCTAGTGAGTGAAACCTCCGTTGGAGACCTGGAGACCATGACATGGAATAACAGGTATGGGCAATTTCTGGGGTGCAAGGTGCAATGGGGCCATGCAGTTTTTGCAAGATTTCCAATAACAAACGTAATTTAGACTGGTATACGTTCTTCCAGATTTTTTCAAGGTATCTAAACTTTTTTGTTGTTATTATAGCTAAGAGATTATATTACACGCAGTTGAACTTTTCTTAAACTTAAGGGATGTTAAACATCCATCCACTTTAATCCGTATAGGTCTACTTCATACTTTGCAGGGAGCTGGATATGCTCATCAGCTTGATTGTGGTGATGGTTTTAGGGATATCGACACATGTTAAAACTCAAATTGTACACTTGAAATATATGTGGTTTATTGTACCTCACTCATACCTCAGTAAAAATGGAACAGTCTTGTGCTTTAAATCTTTTACTGTTTCCCCCACTTGACACTCTAAGTTCCATCCACGTTGCTGTGTGTGCATCTAACGGGTCGTTTCTCAAGGCTGTGCGGAATTCCAGGGAACGCAGTCATCGTGGTTCACTAACTCATGCCGTCGTCACTCCCCCTGCCTCCTGCCCATCTAGGCCATGAACAAGGCTGTCATAAATAACCTCTCCCCTGTCTTCTTATGGATCTGAGCAAACTTGCTTTAAAATATATTTCACGGAGTAAGACTGCTGAACCATGTACCCAATGCCTATTTCATTTTACTGAAAACTGCCTGCTTATTTTACAGAAAGGCTGAGCGAGTTTCCATTCCTCCCAGCCTCTTAGCTTGGATTTCTCACCCTTCCCACTGCAAAAGACCGAGGACACGGACGTCAGTTCCTGGTGCCACCCCCACCCCGCCCCCACTCAATTTGGTATTGACTTTATGGTTGCTGACAAATAGTACTTCAGGCTGAGGCACATGGCTGGGGCCATTCCCTAGTGTTTAACAGATGGAATTTCTATTTTCACTTGTTTTTGAAATCATGTTTTTGGGGAGAGGTTCAGGTCAGAGGTGGGAGCTCTGTAGTCTGCCTTTCCACGGCACTCCCTGGCTGCCTTCAAAGGTCCCACCTCCATGAAGGAACCAGGCCCCTGTGCTTGGGCCAGTGTTTTAAGCTGCAAGGAATGTGGTGACTCAGCTGGTCGCCCAGGGACACCTCGGTGAACAAGGCCGAGGGAAGGAAGTCATTACACAGACAGCTGGGCTGTAAAAAACAAAAATACTCCATGTACCAAACTTTACAAAGCACTGTGGCCGTGTGTCCCATGACCCAACGGGACACTGCTTC